AGCCCAGGTCCGGGTGCCAGAGGGAAGCCGGTGCTGGCAGCAGGGGGAAGGAAGGCCCACTCTTGCACAAAATTCATGCATTGGGCCTCTAGTCTTAAATAAACACCTCTCTCTGACTTGCTTTAAAAAAAATGTAACTGCAAAAAAAAGTGTATAAATTTACCTTTTTGTTATATGGTTAATTTGCCATTTCTTGCTCACTCATAGTTCCAACATGATTTTGTACATTTGTATGACTTTGATACAGGTTACATGCTTATCAAGAACCATTTTTTCCTATTTATAATCCTCCTTTCAAATGTTCCATGCTTTCCTGATTGATGACTAAGTTGTTGTTTTCCAAGTCCCAACTTGGTCCCAGAGACACAAATTAATGAGATATTTGTTTGAGATGGAAAACACTTTCAGGTAACCTTTAACTTCTCTCAGACTGAAAAGCTCTTTACCTCTGATTAATTAAATCAGCTTCCTTTCACAGAGCCAAACTACCACCAACACTTTCAAACCCTGTTCCACATGATTTATTGTGTTAACTCATTTGAGCCTCAGCTAGGGTTCCTCATTGGAACCACTGCAAACAGAATTGTGTGAGGGGCTGTTTTCTCAAAGCTCTCCAGGGCAGTTCATAACCAGTGTCCCGCCAGATGCACTGCGGAGAAGTCAAGTCATTACCTACAACAGAAGCCTGAAGTCAGTGGGGCTTTATTTTCTCAAGAAACCCTAGTTAAGGAAGGCCACAAATCAACAATCCCAGTAGGTAAGTTATATTATCATCTCCATTATTACATGAGGAAACTGAAGCAAGAGTTGAGGTACTTGCCCTAGCCAATTGGCTCAGTGGATAGAGCGTCGGCCCATGGACTGAAGGGTCCCAGGTTCGATTCCGGTCAAAGGCACATACTTCAGTTGCAGGCTTGATCCCCAGCCCTGGTCGAGGCGCAGGCAGGAGGCAACCAGTTGATGTATCTCTCTCACATGGATGTTTCTCTCTCTCTGCCTCTCCCCCTCCCTTCTTAAAAAAAATCAATGGAAAAATATCCTCTGGTGCGGATTAACAAAAAACAAAAGGGTCGAGGTACTTAACTAAACTCACATAGCTAAGTGGTAAAACCAGGATTCAAACCCAGACAGTCTAGCTCCAGAGTCCTTCAGAAAGTCCAACTCTGTTGCTCTGAATCCACTTAGCTCTTCCTCCATGTGCCTCATGACCTAATCCTTAATGGTTTGCTATTTTATAATTATTTCTCATGCATACATTTTTTCACAACAAAACGGCAAGCTGTTTAAAATAAGAACAATACATTTCCCAAAGCCCACAAAAAGGCATTCAGAATGTTTAATTGATCATTGGAACTAGTAACAGCCATAAATCAAAAAATAGAGTTCATTCAAATAGGTGAGACTAGTTTACTTGACATAGCCTCAACTGAACCGAACTATATCATCAGTCATTAACAGAAACATAAATATGGGCATATTAACCATAATTAAATTTGAAGATAAAAATATGTACAAGAGTCACATTAACAGAGATATATCTACAATCAATTTTCAAGTTATCAATAGGAAGGTTGCTACTTCAGCAATTTTACTCCCTAGTTCCTTCTGATAGTTTCTAATGTTCCCAAGCATATATCCTAAAGAATATAGAAAAAAGCAGGCAGTAGAGAAGTGATATAGTTAAAGATGAAAGTCTCTAGAAATCTGTTGGGGTTCTATTTTCAATTATACAAATCTAGACTAAAGTTAACATGGCAGAAGAATAAATGATTTCCACACAAACTCCAAGATGCCATACAGAAATACACTTGAATTTCCATATTGCCATTGC